ATTCTCGTAAAACTGAGACAAACAAAATGCTCCCTCATTATATCCAGGGTTTGCTATAGTTTGCTATAGTCCAAAATAATTTTCAAAAATGTAATTCAAGAAATAATCAAATCAGTTCAGAGATTCCACTGTCTTGTTTAGGTCAACATGAAGTAAAGTACTTTGCATATAGTTCCCACTCATATAAAGAAAATATTAGGATAAAATAGAACTAAATAGATCAGAGACAAAGACATACAGTGAAACTTGAACTGGCAAGCCAGCCATGAAATTTTTTCAGTGTCTTGCCATAGGAATCTGTACAGGCTTGTGACATTGTCCAATCTGGATGTGTAAGTAAATTCCGGAAAAGTTCCACCAGGAAATCCATTGCTCTGAGGATCACCAAGAATATTAAAACACATGAGTATATAATTTTAAATTCCTTAATCAAAGATTATAAGCAATGACTGCCATTCACAAAGAGCATGTAAATTTCTTTTTCTGGTATGCCTAGATTGTTTTCTAGTGAAAACTCAAAAGCCCAAGATTATTAGCTTGAATCCTATTTCTTGTCCTGCATTTGATCTTGCACACTTTCACCTTTTGAAAACTATGCTCCAAGGCAGTTCAGTGAGACATTCAAAGTTTAAAATTCTCATATAAGATATGATTTTAAGGAAATTGGATGTATAAAGGTTCACGGTAATCTTTCCCAGAATAACTTTCTTGCATCAAACTCTGTGATGATCAACATGCTCCAAAATTTCTTTGACCCTCTTGCAGAATAGTCCATTGTGACAATATGCATGCCAATGACAAAATAAAATACATGAAAAGAATGAAGTAATTGTGTTGCGAACATTATGTAGTATCTACCTGGTCAGCCAAAGAAGACCATTGGCACAACTTGATGATCCTTTTGCTGTTTTAGCATCAACCTCCTCTTGAACCATAGTGTAAAATTGGTTGTATTTAGATGGATCTGACAGATATTTGGTTTCCAATCTCTACAAGTGAAAACCAAGAATTATATAGTTTCAGTTAAATCAGTATTGAACATGAAAATAGAAAAAATCCAAATCACAATCAAATGTGATAAAGAAAATGGTATAGTGATAGAATGTATAAGCTGCACACTGCTCAAATGTCAATGACAGGCAATTAAGAAGGGGGGAAAAAAAGCGAGAGAGAGAGAGAGAGAGAGAAACAAAAATTATGCTTCAAAATTTCTTATCTATTTATTTGTTTATGAACCACATAAGTATACAAGTTTCATAGATATGCAAATCAACAGAAACAGTAGGGGAAATAGAGATCTCTCAATTTTGTCAGTGTCATTCATTATGCTAAGACATATTCTATCAATCCACATATGCAGACAGCATTACTTATATAAACAAGCAGATAAGAAGCAAAAATGCTTACCGTTATGTTACCACCGATATCAGATTTTACAAGGGCCATAGCAGCTCCAAACTTATCTGTCATCAGAAGTAATGAAGGACTTCAATTTGCGACCAAGCATCTAGTAGTTGGATAATGGGAGAGGATATGATAATTCAAAAGAAATAAGAAATAAAATTATTATGGTGAAGGATCTCGTAAAGGAAATAAGAAATTACGCAACCGCCTGGCATTACTTTAGCAAATTGATTCGAGTTGTTTTTTTAACTTCTGACTCCAAGAAAAGTCATAAATATGTTTGGTTAGAAATAATTTTCGACTTAAATCAAAAGGTTTTTACAAAATTTTGACTTAAATTCTAAATTGTACAAACTTCCTTGTTCAAAAAAGTCAGTATGAATCATTTTTTGACGAACATAATTCTAACTCAACTTTTTTTTCTCACGAGTAATTTTTGAAAAATAGAAAAATAATTTTTGTATCATGACAAACAGACTCTAAATCTAACATCACAATAGGAAGTGTATCTTTAACTAGGGATCAGTCTAAATTAATAACATATTAAACAACAGTTCGGTAACTTGTACAGAGATCCAGAATTAAAAACACGAGAATGTGAAATTAATAGTAGTAATTAAATAATTGAATAAAAGGAACGGACCAATAACAGGCAAAATCAATTTGCAGACATCCAAGAAAGGTTTAGTGAGCATTTCTCCGTTATCGGATCTGACATGCTTCATTCCTTCCAACGATGGTGCAAAAACAGTTCCTTGACCAGCTGAAGGCTCCATCTTCAATTTCTCTCCTCAAATTCACTGCAACAACATTCAATAGATAAACAAAACAGAATTAGAAATCTGAGCCTCATAAAAAAATAACATTTCATTTTAATCAGATCTACCAGCAATCGCAGTACTACAGAATGATCTTAGAGGAATAGAAAGAGATTTATCAGTTCAAGAACATTAAGAGAAGAGATGTTAGTGTGATTGATTCGATTTTGAAAGGAAATGAAAGGAAATACCAGATAATCTGGTAATACAGGTGGATGTGAGAGAGGTATTTGATCGTTGTTGATATTTTAAATATATAGCGAAAATCTAATCCCGGGGCGTCGGTTACTCGCTTTCACGTTTCGAATCCGAATCGTGCTTTTTTCAACCGCGTGCTGGAAGGACGGGGGTCGAGGCTGATATTTATGAAAAAATATTAAATATATCAGGAATTGTATTTATTCCACGGTTATTACACCTGCCCGAAATTAACCTAGTCAAAAGATTGGATTCCAAATTTTATGGATTAATTTAAATTAATTTTAAAAATTTTAAAAAATAAATAGTAATTATTTATCCCAAGTTAAAAATTATTTATTCTAAATTTGATTGTTATACATTTATTATGAAAAACATTAACGATAATCTCTTTAGGTGTATCAATAAAATTATATGTTGAAGGTTTTTTATTATAATCAAAATTCTTATATTTTCATCCAAGTAAAAGCTATAGTCATATAAATTAATGAAATGATTATCAGGAGCTAATACATTTATTTTTAAAAAAATTATCTTAACATTTATATTATATTTCAGAACCGTCACCTCATTATCAAAACTTAATATCAAAAAGTTGGCTAGAAGATTCTCAACAATGTAATTAAACTCATTAATTAAGAGGCTTATTAGAAAAATTCCTTTCAACACTAGTAATTCTAAAATAGTAAACTTGAAGGATATCCAAAAATGAAGAAGTTACAAGGCTAATGCTATTTATACTAGTTGTAAATCTTTTGCTAAAGGGACTCGTGGTAGGTTTATTAACACTGTAATTAAGGAGATTGATAAATATAATAAATAACAAATGAGTATTAACTTTTCGTGGAACATGAGTTTTTATTGTACTCTGAAAGTGCTTAGTAAATTTTATTGATGCTTGTGTTTCATTGTATGAAGAAAGAGGTAAAAAATAAGAAGATTTTGGTGGGTGACAAATATCATGGTATTCTAAAAAAAAAAAACAAAATGAGTCTTGTCCAGATCGATTAGATTTTGCTGAATTGTTGCATTGATCAATTTTTTAATAAATTCAAATCAATCTAGCTATTAGGTTACTCAATTTTTGAATTGACTTGCCAAGTCAGACCAAATTTAATAATTGTAATTCGATATTATATGATATTTATATAATATTTTAATTACTCTATTTTAAAATGATGAGAAAGCTCATTCTTTTTTAGGTTAATATTACGAGAAACATCCAAATATAAAAGAAAAAAAATAATATCAAACTTATTAAATATAATAAAAATATCTTTACCCAAACTCAAAAATATATTTTATAAATTCTCACTCCTTTACTGATATTGCTAGTTGTTTTTAAAGTATTTTAAATTTTGTTTATTTGTGGAATGACTTAAATTCATAAAATACATGTATAAGTGTAATTTATACTACACAAAATTTTTTATAGTTCCCAAACAATAATTTAATGTTATTTTATTAATTACTTTCTAGATTTACTTTAAAAAGTTTACAAAAATAAAAATAAAATAAAATTTTTGACCCATTAAAAATAATAAAAATATCTTTACTTAAAATTTCTCTTTCTTAATTTTATTTATTTATTTAAATAAATTTAAAAAACAACTAATAAAATATTATATATATATAATATTTCTCAAACTAAAGAATGTTTGTTTTAGTTTTTGTGATTGAGATTGTAGTTGGGTATAATCTATTTGTGCACAAAACTCAACTATAAAAACTAATAATTCTTTTCTTTCTTAACTTTTTTAGTGGATCCCACATCCAAAACATAAATTTCCCCTCGAAAACAAACACACACTAAACTTAAAGAATTCAAAATCTCAATTCCTCCTTGCCAGGACACCACTTCAAGTTATTTGAAATTGTAGTAATGATTATAATTTAAAATATTATAATTTAAAAATATATTGTAATAATATTTTTTTATATTTTAAAAAATATTTTTGATATTAATATATTAAAATAATTTAAAAATATACATAAAAATATTTTTAAATAAAAAATTAAATTTTTAAAAAATATAAATTAGACTACATTTCCAAACTATCACCATGTCAAGCTTGCGGTTCACAATAGGATAGTCATCAAGGCTAGTTCTCGTAGGTAGTAAATTGATGTATCAAACTAATGCATGTTAAGGCTATTTTTTTTTACTAATAAGATATTATTTTGATTTTTTTAAATAAAAAAATTGATCCAATTGACCAGATGATTCGATTAAAATTTAGAATCCAAACCTTAAACCAAATCGAAACTTCAAACTACACTTCGTGGAAAGTCGGGTGAAGAGAGCGATGATTTATTATATTATTTATGATTTATTTTTTTAATTATAGGATACTGTTCATTTTATTTTAAAAAGTTCTTTTTTAATTATATATTACGTGAATATAAATTAACAAAATGAGTTTTGATGAACCTTTTTCATTAAATAAATCTCTGACTCTTAACACAAATCCTTCTGAGCGTAGGAGTCAAAGCAAGCAGAATTCAAGAGTTTTCCTTCGGAAATTACCCAGGCCACCAAAAGATGAGCTCCCATGCAACCTGTGCTATAAAGCTCAAATCTAATCTCCAAAAGGGCAAAGCTCAATAAACAAGAAGGATAAGCTTATCATGCAGTCTCTACAGGGATTCCATCAAAATGATTGTTTCATGCTACCCAAACAAAAATCAGCACACTAAAATTAAACTAGTGTTTCAGCAGGCCTTGGGTGGGTATTTGATAGCGTTCTTCACAATTTTTTTGGTGGCAGCATCACCAAGATCAATGCCACAAATATCAGACAATCTAATGAGGTATAGCAGCACATCAGACAGCTCTTCTGCTAGATGCTCCTTGTCAGATTCCTCCCAGTTTGGCAACCCCTTGTCCACCTCTCCTTTCCATTGGAATATTTCCGATAGCTCTCCTACTTCGCCAACCTGCACATCAAACAAGATAAATAAATAAAAAGGAATCAAATCCAATATTAGATGATGGAGAGATTTAGTCTGTGACCAGGAAAATATGATGAGCCAAAAAAAACCCATGTATTTTGTCACCATCACAGCTGCAAGACATAAATGTGAACATTTACACACCCTTTAGTAGCCAATGATTTAAGCTTTACACTTTTAAAGACAAGGGCACCTTCACAAATTTCTCAAGTTCCATCCCAAACATGAGCAAATTGGCTGAAGAGATTCCTCTGCCCGAGCCACCTTATGCCTCCGTACGATTGGTGTCTCAAACTGTCTTGAGCAGTCATGGAAATTAAGATCTTTCAGGCAAATATTTGTTCTGTTAATGCACTGCCCCTGTGAAACTTCTTTCTGAAATTATGAAATAAAAACACAGCTTGTCTCTAAAAAATATTTCACAGTAGTCGATCCCTAACAAGTCTGTGAATCGTCAATGATGTCCTTCCAGTGAGTGCCTCGTTACATATGGTTCGGCTTCGACATGGATGATTAAACTAGAACAAAAGTTGTCCTTATTTTATATTGTGGGTTGTATTCACTTTGTCATCATAGTGAACTGTGCATTAGCCCCCAGTAGATTCAAGAAACTAGTGAAAAGACATGTTGAGAAGAGGGAATGTTTCTGCGATAGAACTGAGTCATACACAGGATCATTCCAAAACATAGCAAAGAAGAAAGCATTCTGAGCTATGTGTGACCTATGGGAACGGACACGAAAAACACATACATAAAGGATCTTCGCAAGAATGCTCTGTACACATATACAAGGAGGATAGGACATTACCATTGCAAGAAGGAGATTTCTTGGACTGTGGTACTTTTCCCAATCTCTGGCCTTGGCAAATTCCTCTAGTTTCTTGGCAAGGTCCTTGAGACTAATGTCCACTACTTTCTCTTCTGCAATACAGATCTCTTCTGTTTCTTCCATGCTTTAGCTCCTTTTGAGTCTCTTTCCAGTGCAGAGGAGTTTTTATAGCCTCAAAAGGAAAGGACAAAAAAAAAACAAAACAAAAAACAAAAATCAATTGTACAATGTTTCTCAAGATCTTATGGAATAATATATCAATTGTAAAATGTTTCTCAAGATCTTATGGAATAATATAATAAATTAGACTATTGTATTAAAATAATTTTTTAATTTTAGAGCATTAATGACAAACATTCACAACTTTAATTTTTTTTTATTTATTTAATTAAAAAAATAAAGCACAAAATAATATAAGTCTATATAAATTTCAAGTCAAAATAACTTTTACTTGAAACGATATATTATAAAAAATATAAATCATATCTTGAAACCTCATTTAACAACTTAAATTATTGGGTTAAAATAATTCTTTTATACGATATGAGTGTTTTAATAACTAAACAGTCACGAGTTTGAATGATATGAGTGTCTTAATAACTAAATAATCATGAGTTTGAATCTTAATATTCTTATTTATTTGATAAAAAATAAGTATTCTTAACATTCTTATTTATTTGATAAAAAATAAGTATTAAATAATATGAATTTGTACAAGATTCAAAATTAAAGAGTTTTCATTTAAGGATATATATAAAAAAATATATAAATTATATTTTAAAACGCCAAGCAAAATGGCCAGCTTCCAAAAAAAAATAAAAAAATGGCCAGCTTCAATAACTGAAATTGAGAACATTCCATTTTATCCATGACTAGATCATGGTCTCCCATGTTTTAAACCAAAAGAGCAGAATGAGCTAGCTATACTCGGTTCCAAGGTAAATTAGCACGGCTAGTCGGACAGCTTGTGAGATTTCCACCCGTATCATATGATGGGAATTTGAGGCCATTCATTTGGTGATTTAACACACTTGTTCAGGTGGCTAAATTAGTGTGAAAACACAAAACCCCACAAAATGTGCTCTTGTTAGACGGCATGCTTTTCATTGGATTCCACCTATGTATTTGTGCTTTATTTGCCACTACTAAGTGCTCGTTCCATTACTGCAATAGCCTAGGCTCATATAAGAGCTAGAGGTTCAAGCCATGTGAAGATGTTTAGCTGTTGCAAAATGAATGGCCATCGCCGGGGAATTATTATTTCTAATCCGATTTGCCGAAGCCTATCGCGTTCCCTCCTACAAATTGCAACTTACTGACATTTCCAAGAAAATAAATGTGAAGGAAAAGAAGACTAAAAGAAAGCTAGAAATGCCTTAATCCAAATCCTCTGAATTGTGAAAGGCGATTTGGACAAACAGCAAGGCCCTCCCTCCACTACTACCCAGTACCAATGTACAATGAATAAAACTATAAAGAGGTTAAAAGCATGGTTTGAATGATCCCACCATGTTTTTTCTCCAGTTTCTTATTCATCGTGCATGTTCCCTGGTTTGTAAGGAAAAAAACAAAGCTTAAAGGGGTAAGAAATCTGGCAACTTCTTTTTTTCCAGGAGATGGGTGAATACATAAACTAACAAAAACTTGCTTTTCCAAGTAGTTTATTGACTCAGTGATTCCGAAGTGTAAAAATTCTTATGATCATTGCGCAGAAAGATCAAAAAGGCTACAAGAATGCCACGTATCATTCTAATCATTAAGCTATTCACAAATATTATTTAAAAAGCAAATATAAATAAAATACAAAAAGTAGATTTATATGGTTCCTCAAAACCGAGTATATCTACAAAGATAGGAAATTATATATTATTGGAAAAATGATACAAACACTCAACTCAATCTAGTACAATCCCACAAACCCAGTGTTTTACTTTTACATTTGATATTTTTCTTAAATCTGTACTTTCTCACGCTCACAGTTGCACTCACTTGCATTCACCCTCACAGTTGCACTGTCTTCCTCTGCACACACTTACATATATTATCTATATCTAACTTTCTCGCCTTTATCTCCATTTATAAGGAGAAATATGAGAGTCGTGGTAGCAACTCATGTGCAGCTTAATAAATATCAACCAATTACTACCTACTACAATACTATGATGGTTTTTTTACGATGGTTGTAAAAAAATTGACAAATTTACTACAAAAACAACCTTGAGAAATTTCAACACAGAATGCCACCAAAAAATTTAAAAGAAAAAAAAATAATATTAGAAGAATTGCAAGCTAAAAGGGGAATCAGTTCTCATGACTGTTGATATAAACAAGCAATTTAGCTGTCCTCAAAGAGAAAAACAACCACTGAAGGGCATAATTTAAGTAGACAGTAGAATGCAGATGCTAGAAGATATTCTTAATAATGATGCCTCGGTCCCCTGCGATAAGAAGATAAGATAGAAGCTAAGGATTCCCTTTCTGGGATGAATATAGAAAGGTTCTGTGATGTTGCATTGTGGTGGAGTATCTTAGGGTTAAAATAAAGATTTTACTTGCTATTTCAATTGAACATTTCTATTTTGTAGAGACTAGCGTAGGCTGGGGGGGGCTGTCTAACAGGTTAACAATTTATGGACCGCGACAGAAAATGACCTCTGAATGTGCATCCATTGTCTAGTCTGCACCACATTTCATGCCAAAATATACATCCTACGAAATATGTCTGCTATTTTTTATTTTTTTTCCCTATCTCAAGGAATCTTACTGTGTTAGACTTTTTCCCCTATCTCAAGGAATCTTACTGTGTTAGAATATAATTAAAAAAAAAACTGAAAGAGATGAAGAGGTCATTATGCACACGTACTCTATGTACTGTGGATTAAATAGTATAACTACTATTTTGCTTTTCTAAAAAAAACTTATTTGACGTAGCCTCTAAGATATAATTGTAATTATACAGGAATTAATCTGTCATTATCATTTTGATTAGGGTCTAAGTTAATTTTTTTTATTTATTTAATTGGTGAACAACATGCTGTCTATGGCTAAAGATGACGCAACGTTTAATTCACCTTCTTCCCTAGGTTTCCGATGACTAAAACTTGGAAATTGCTTGATGGAATCTGGAAACTGTCGCCAAATACTCAGGGGCGTTGTTTTGGCCTGTACACCATTTTTGTTCAAAAACACCTTAGGATTATCCAAAAAAAACGTTTAGAAATCATGCTCACATCCATTATAACAACCAAAAGGCATCTAATCAAATTCCGAAACCACATTTTATGTTCAAAATCGATCTCTTGGTTAACATATATATAGGTTACAAATTCCGAAACCAGTCATATCTTTCAAATTAGGGGCTAACTGGATTCTATTTAGCATCTGTGCAACTTGATCTGTTCATATCTTATCATTTCAATAGCACTCAAAGAGGATAGCTATGATCCGGTCCAGTTCCTATCACAATCAATGGTGAGTTAACATCATTAGGGTCCAGAGTTTACTTACAAACAACCATTGCTAGCATAATGCAATCAGAGGAGAGTTAACATCACCATGTTCGTCAGATACAGTTCAACAAACCATGTGCAGCATCATGTCTTTCGAAATTGTATCAATTTTCAAACAATGCAATCATGTTGTCGTGCTTTTGAGATTATATCTCAGTCTATGAAAATTTCAATTTGAAGACAGATATACTGTCCCTTGTGTGTTTTCTGTGGATTGGTCCTGCGTAGTAGTTCCTGTATCGGATTCTAATGAAGGCAAGCCTGTGTCTGCGTTACTGTCCAAAAGAAACGCAGGTCGTGAAGGTGATGGGAGACTCCAGGAGTGGCTAGTGAGCATAAGAACAACAGCAGCCATAGTGGGTCTACCTAACACATTCTCTTGAACACACAATAAACCTATGTGTAAGCATCTCATTACATCACTTACTGGACTGCCCCTCAATGTTTCGTCAATCAGGTTCGTAGCTGTTCCTTCTCTCCAATTTCTCCATACCTGCAGGGTGTGAAATGCACTCGTTGAAACTAACTCATCTGAATGAAAAAGTTCAGTTCTTCCACACAAAAACCAGGTCAATCACACGATAAACTGATTTTGATGCACGCACTTCTTAGCTATCCTTAACGGTTCCAGTCCACTCCAAGCATAAAGAAGCAAACACAAAGCTTGACTAAGATACGAGCACACTTACATGGATTAGAAGGAGCTCTATTTCCTCTGAATTGCTCAGCCAGCTGTTTTTCTTACCAGTTACTATCTCTAGAACCAACACTCCAAAACTGAAGACGTCAGATTTCACTGAGAATCGATTTTGCAAGGCATATTCTGGAGCCATGTAGCCGCTAAACAACATCAACGACAGGAGGACAATCTCAATTCAAATGCTAACAGTGCTCTTTCGAAACTGACTTATTCCATCTCAGGTTTTATGCAACATAAAAGAGTTTTTTTTTTTTTCCTAGTAGTTCTATAGAATTTCTAAAGAGTATAGTCATTGAGTTGATTTTATACTCACTAGGTCCCCGCAACTCTGCTGGTAATGCGTTGGGTTTGACCCGGTTGAAACTGCCTTGCCAAGCCAAAATCTGAAACTTTAGGATTCATCTCTTCATCTAACAAGACATTGCTAGCTTTCAGGTCACGATGAATGATCCTAAGACGAGAATCGTCATGAAGATAAAGAATTCCTCTAGCAATGCCACTGATGATTTTGCACCTTGTTTCCCAATTCAGTTGGGTGCTCTTGATTGGATCTACAATTTCATTCAATATATTTACCAAATCCTACTTGTGGATTAAAAGAGAGATTAGATATGCTAAACAATTCCTTTAGTAAAAGGTAAAGCAGCAGTACCAAATATGAATTTATCAAGGCTGCCATTACCCAAAAACTCATAAACAAGGATTCGTTCCTCTCCGTCAGAGCAAAAACCTACAAGGCTAACAAGATTTCTGTGTTGGAGCTTAGCCAATAACAGAATCTCATTCTTGAATTCTACTTCACCTTGTGAAGAACAGCCGGATAGCCTTTTGACAGCAATTTCTTGTCCATTTGGAAGCACTCCCTGAAGATTAACAGAGTAAATAAAGACAAGTGTTCATTTTTTTCTTTTTCTTTTTGGTAATATC